CCTCAGGGCAGGAGGTGGCAGGCATAGCCTCACACATGTCTCTTCTCATTTAATTGAGTGAAAACACTGCTAGGACCCTGGTCGTCCCTCCTTAATACAACCCACTGAATGACCGCTCTTCCCGGAAGGCCGGCGGATGGCACTGTCGCTTTCTCAACACCAGAGTTTCAGAGGCTTTCAAAAGAGCTTGAGAAAGAACAGAAGGTTTCGCGTGAAGGTTCTGCCTGCTTGAGAAAGGTTCTGGGAAGCCGTAGGGGGAAGTGGCTGCAGTGATTCAAGGAGCCCAATGTGGCGGGGCAGGCAAGGGACAGATGAGGTTTGTGGTGCAGTTTCCCTCCTCTGACCCTGACTCACGAACAGTCTGTGGTGGGGGTGGCTGGCTGCTCTCTGAGCCCCTGGGATGCGCAGACAGCTCTGCCCAGGCAAGAACTCGGCTGAGAGACTTCAAAGTGGGTGAGAGGAGGGCCCAGATCCTGGCCCTGCACAGCTACGTTCAGTCGGGTTTCAGATGGGCTGGGGTGTTGGGAAGTCAATTTCCAGACCTGTCTCCCCCAACCCCTCTGGTTGGACGCGAACTCCCAACCTTTCGTTTCAGGGCTGAATGTGCTAAGCACTTGCCTCACCCAGGAATCAGGTACTCTCCATCAACAACCAACACTAACTCCAACAGCCCCACTGCATGCGAGGGCAGAGCTTCACTCCAGGGGCTTCTGATGATGGATAGCCAGGCCTTTCTTCCAAGCGAAGGGTGGGGTAGACTCCAAGCTTTGGGCGGGCAGCGAGAGTGTTCATCATTGGCACCATCCAGGGACTCCAAAGGGAGGGGGGAACAGGAGTGGGGGGTGGAGGGTGCCTTCCCCATGGGGCAGTCGCTGGGCAGGGCTGAGTCTACCAGGCTGCATCTGTGTGGGCGAGGCGTGGGGTGCAGCCACAGCCCAGGGCACTGCAGAACTGAAACCACTATGCAAGGTGGGTGGTGGGCACAGGTCACCCTACTTTCTCAACTTTGTTTCTTCCTCTCTGTTAAAGTGAACCCTTTAATGGTGCGCACTGAAAGGTGAGAACAGGGCCCCTCCCCAAGCACGCGCGGCAATTCTACGCTTCCGTGGGAGAAAGGAGACTTTCCACTCCCATAAAGAGCTACGGTCTCAGAAACCCACAGGGCAGTCCCACCCTGTCCTCGAGGGTGGCTAGGAGACTGAACGGACTCAATGGCAGTGAGTTTTGTTTTGTTTTTGAGGGTCTCAGGGGGACCCCTTTCCAAATGCTCTACAATTGAACCCACCGCCAAGGGTCACTTCAACTCACAGCAACCTTGTAGGACAAACAGACCCGCTTCACAGGGCTTCCACAGTCGTAATATCACTAGAGGAGCCGACAGCCTCATCGTTCTCCCATGGATTGCCCAGTGGGTTTGAACCGCGGACTCTGTGGTTAGCAGTTCCATGCCTAACCCACGGCATCACGAGCCTTTCCTCCCACCTGCCAAAGGACTTGCTGATCCGTGTGATCTCGCATGTGGGGGCTCTGTTCTGATTTTCTGAGGCCACCACAGTCCATGGCAGACAGAGAGGGGACAGCCAGCGACGTCCAGCTCAGAGCCCTGGCGGGGTGGAGTCCCCCTGAGATGCTAAGACAGAGACTACCCTTCTCTCTCGCCCGGCTTCTGAGCGTGCCTGGCAATCCTTGGCATTCCTTGCTTGTAGATGCCTCTACCTCCATCTTTTCACCAGGCTGCCTTCCCTCTGTGTCTCCTCTCTTCCATGGGATACCACTCGGATGGGATCAGGACCCACCCTGCTCCAGAGTGACCTCCTGTTAGCCTGATACCAAACCCAAGCCCACTGTCATCTGGCCGATTCGGACTGACAGGGCCCGGGGGTAGAGTTTCTGAAAGGACGTCTTTGAATGTCAATCTTTAGGGCAGCGGTTCTCAACCGTCCTCAGGCCGCGACCCTTTCACACAGTTCATCAAGGGGTGGTGACCCCCGCCACCATAACATTATTTTCGTTGCTGCTTCATCACTGTCATTTTGCTACTGTTATGAATCAGGCGACCCCTGTGAAAGGGTCATTTGACCCCCAAAGGGGCAGTGACCCACAGGTTGAGAACTGCTGCTTTAGTGGAACAGACAGCCTCATCTTTCTCCCAAGGGGTGGCTGGTGGGTTTGAATCACCAACCCTGTGGTTAGCAGCCTAACCAATGCCTAAGCCACTGCACCACTGCGGCTCCAACCTACCCGATACCACATTCAAAAACTCCGTATCCAGGCAGGGTCACTTTAACAGGCGTCAGGGTTTTTTTGGTGCGGGGAGGGGTTACGCAATTTCCTTAGTAACAACCTTCTTTGAGGGTCTGCAAAGTTAAAGGGGTTAATTCACATTGGGCTGGATAAAGTCAGACATCTGGAATGATGTATAGCAGAATTACATATACAGGTGCATCTGGATGGTCCGGGACCCGGCAGCATTCTATTTTCTGTCTGCTGTGCATACGGTTGGAACCAGCTAGACGGCATCTAACAACCACCGGCGCGTGCGCCGACACACTCGTACACCTTGTTGGGTGTCGTGGAGTCTGCGTCAACTCTCAGCAGCCGGGGACCCTGTCTGGTCCTGCACCGTCTCCACATCCCTCGGCACTGTGGAGCCCCCTGTGGCAGCCCCTGGGTCAGTCCACCTCCCGGAGGGGCTCCATCTTTTTCACCAATGGTCTCCCTCGCCAAGCACGATGTCCTTCTCTAAGGACTGCCCTCCTGACAACACGCCCAGAACATGTGGCGCAAAGCCTGCCACCCTTGTGTCTGGGGACCATATTAGCTGGCTTTCTTTTTCCGAGGCAGATTTATTGGCTCACCCTCTGGGCAGTCCATATGTATTCGTCCAAGTAAACTAGAGAAACAAATTCATGGACACTCATCTATGTGCAAGAGAGAATTTTTATATCAAGAAGGAAGCATGCATCAATAAAACACCCAGCCCAGTCCAGATCAAGTCTGTAAATCAGAGATTAGCCCATATGTCCCATACTAGTCCATAAATTCTTCTTTAAACTCACGCAGCACATGCGATAATGCAGCATGCAGGAAGATCACAGGCCGATGCGTGGAAAGTCCTGTGGATCCAATGGCGGTGGACGCATCTCCGGGGCTCGGGCTGCCATCAGCGTGGATCTGTGTGGCTTCTCATCAGGAATGTGAAGCAGAGAGAGTGGATCCAGCCTCCACTGAGGTATTTATCTCTACTGTGCCTCCAGATGAGGTCATCAAACTGTGACCTGATTGACAGGCTAAACTCCACCCCCTCACTCTTAACACCCTCAAGTTGACATGAGGTTATGTAACCACCGCACCATGGTATTCACTCAGTATTCTTTGCCAATACCCTGTATATGTGTTGGACTCTAGTATTGGACATATGGACTTGAGTTGGACTGGGCTGGGATGTTTTCCTGATATGCAATTACATTTTTAATATAAAGCTCTTTTTTGCATATCCATGAGTGTCATTAGATTTGTCTCTAGTCACTTGGCCTAACACAGACTGCTACCCTTAAGGTTGGTGGTTCAAACCCACCTGCTGCTCCTTGGGAGAAGGTCAGCGAACCGGATGCAGGATCCAGACCCAGCC